GCATTGGATAGCTGGCCAATCAGAGCACACCTCGTTTTTCAGACCGATGAGTTTTGTAAAAATCGACGCGTTTCAGAAAGGCGGGGCATAGGAAAGAAACAATAATGCACATTATGTGGAAAATAATGTGTTTTTTGAACCTTAAACCGCATAAACACATTTCATTACACCAAATACACAAAATAATGTTCTTTTTAGCAACATCATATGACCCCTTTAATAAAAATGAATGAGTTATGTTCAACTTCTGCTTTCTCACACAGAACAACCTCCTGGACAGTAAATAGTCTGGTTTTAAAAGAGGCCACTCAACTAAGACTGCCCTGCTCTTGGTTATTAAAGCTCTGTGACTGGCAAGAGCAGCTTCTAAGTCATCTGTACTTATTTAGCTGGATCTGTCTGCGACATTTGGCACAGTTATCCACCTGATTGTCCTGTCAACCCTCTTGACAAATAAAACTAGACTAAAATGCTCAGACTTTTAGTTGACTAAAACTTGACTAGACTAAAAAGAGTATGAACGTGACTAAAACTAATAAAAACTAAAATGACAGTATCACACAAAGACTAGACTAAAACTAAAATTAAAACAGGCCGCCAAAAACAACACTAGTCTCAGGAACTGCACTCCAGTGGTTCAAGTCTTAACTCTCAGGTAGGTCCTTCAGGGTGTCAGGGTGAGGTTTCTAAGTCGCAACATCTTGCTACTGGTGTGCCTTAGGGCTCAGTCCTTGGAACAGTTCTCCTCTCCATGTACATTACAATGGGTCTGTCATTCAGAAACATGGCATTTCATATTACTGCTATTGTAATGACACACATCTCTCCCTTTCATTTCAGCTGGATGTTCCGACAGTTACTGCTTGCATCTCTGCCTCCTGGACAGAAATGTCTTGCTGGATGATGAATGGGCATCAACTCAACCTTGCCAAGACAGAACTGCTCTTGTTTTCTGCCAACCCAACCTTGGTGTTACAGTTGACATGTATAAACTTCACTGACCACATTGCACTGGCCCGATCCTGCAGATTTGCCCTGTACAACATTAGGAAGACCCTTCCTTACGGGGCATGCTACAAAACTCCTTGTCCAAGCTCTTGTTCTCTCCAGACTGGACTATTGTACTGCTCTCTTGGCAGACCTTCCAGCATGTACTACCAAGCTTCTGCAACTAATCCAGTATGTGGA